TTTTCCAAACCTTCTCCACTTGCGAACCATCGATTCATTAATCTTGAATTCTCTCGCTGCTGCTCGATTTCCATGTTTCTCTGCGTAGCTGATAGCCTTCAGTTTAAACTGTGCTTCATAGGCGTGTCTCTTTGCCATTTTCAGGGTTGTTAAGACAACAATGTTCTGCATAAAGCACATACCTGTTCTTTTATACACAATCCACGCCCACACTTCCCCCTTTGAGGGGAAAAAAAAGACGTTTATATGTGCCTTATAGTCGCGAAAATACTGTAAATAAAAAGAAAAATGAAAAAGAAAGAAAGGTTTGCAGCCGCAGCAGATTCAGTGTAATGTCCGCAAGGAAGTTTGATGGTTGTGGGCGTGAACGCAGGGAGGATCCATCACATTCACCCTCAGCCTCACCCTATGATGACGATGAAATCTAGAGGAGAACCGACGGTTTCCTCCTGTGAACCCCGTTTTATACCAAAACGCCGTTATACAGTAGCTTTAAGTCAGAAACACGTTCAGCGCTCGTCTGGAACACATCAAATACGTTGATATGCGTTGGACAGAAGTTCTTGATAAGTTATGCATAAGTTATGCACCAGTTACTCAGAGGTTTTGGATAAGCTAGACCCCACGAGTTATGAGTAACTTTTACTTAACGGATGTCAATAATCAGATAACTTACCTCTAACTTATGCCTCACGTATGGCATACGCTGGCATATGTCAAGAAATTTCTAAACATACTTGCAGTATGACGACATCTGCCAGCGTGTTTCAGCGTACTTCCACATGCTCATCATTTATACAAACTGTACCCATAACTTATCCATAGTGTGCTAGTGTTTTTGCCAGATTTTCTGTACGTCAGGCATACGCTGGTCTAAATCGAAGTCAAAATCAAAAGGTGTGACAGGCTTCAGTTAGAGAGGGTGGGAGAGTAGATGATCTTCACCTTGCCATAAAAATCACTCATTATCTCTAGAGGAACGTGGGAGCCTTCATACATGGCGATGACTTCCTCATCAGGCACTGGGTGAAGGCCTCTGCAAGAAAAGGAGAAAAATATTCAACAGTGTTCACTAGGACAATCGTTTATAATGTTTAAGCTGCCGTACTTCAAATCAATTAAGTTTATTTTTAAAGCGCACATTCAGAACACATGTCATCTCAAGGCGCTTTATAATTCAACCAGATCATCAAGTCAAATTGATTCAAAGTTTTCTATCTAAGGAAAACCAGTTGATTGCGTCGACTCATTGAATCGAAGGCAATCCCTCACACTACGCATGCTTGTAGCGACAGTGGAGAGGAAAAACTCCTTTTTAACAGGAAGAAACCTCCAGCAGAACCTTCACACCTCATATGGAGATAACTACCCCATTTACACTACCCTTGAAAAACCGTGTCGAGACTGGTCCAAGCTCAGTAACTGAGATAACTTATCGTGTGTAAATGGAAAGCAAACTGAACTGAACCGAGCTAGACACAACTGAACCGTGCTAACTGTAGTCCAGTTCCAGAGGTGGGCTCGGCTCGGTTTTTCCCTGGCTCGGTTCTCTGATAACAAGATTGCATGAGCAGAACGCTTCATCTCCGTCTGGCTGCACATCCCGATTCACACTCTATTCCAGTAGTTGGCGGTAATGCCCCTCCGGAAGTTGTTTGCCAACAACACAAAACAGAAGAAGAACAACTATAAACAATAATCGAAATCTTCTCCACGCAACATTTTAAATAATGGTTGCCGTCTTCGCCTGACCCTCCGCAAACACTGAAGTACAGCAATAATAATCAAGCATAAGTTTCTGATTGTGACAGGCGCCGCCATTTTGATTGCTTGATTCCCTCCTTCTTCGTCT